ATCAGTTATTTCTATTCGGGATCCAAGAATTAGTTCCAAGTTTTGGGCAATCACAGGTTCTAGAGACTGTGTGGAGGTGCTAAGAGTGTTTGAAGCAATTAAAAACAATTGGAGTTGTTTATTTGCAAAGTTATCGAATTGGGAGCAGTTAGGTGGAGTTGAAATGGGTGTTGAAACCTTTAACGCCATGTATTTTGATAGATGTTTATGGGTAACTGAGCATATTGGGGATCATTTTGATTATTCTCGTATGGAGTATAAGTGTGGCATTCCAATAAAAGAATTTCACACTTGCGATGACAAGGTGGAAATCTCCGAATTTATTGTGTCAACAATTTTTTTGTGCCAGATTTTAGAGTACCAATTGAGGGTTGTATAAAGGCAAAACAAATGGATGGCGTTGAGTTCTCCTTATTTTGTGTGCAATATTCTCACGAAAGCTCTATACAACCTTTCGCCAAACGATGATTTTGAATGTTACATGACTCCCCAATATGTTTCTTATTCCTTACCAGGTTTCATTGTTTCTGCCACCTTTGCAAATCGTCCATTTGATCCTGGTACACATGATATTCCTCTATCCTATGTTGCCAACGAGAATATGTTTCGAAATAGTAGTTTTGTTTCTACTTATGTTTTAGTAGTTACATTGTGGGGTGAACAAGTTTGTGGTCTTAGGCGGAAACATGTAGGCACTACTTCGTCTGAACAAGTCATTAATTTATTGGAGCTTCTTTTAGCACTGAATCTTGTTAGTTTGGATGTGAGCACTGGTTATAGCGACTGCAAGCAACTAGAGATATGTGACACATTGTTTAAAACAAAGTTAATTGCTACTAATGCAAGTGCTTCTGCTTGTCGATATGTATGTAGCAAGCAAAAAGTTTATCTCTTGGCGGACATAGCACATATCAGTGGCTCGGTTGCTTCTTTGGTCATTTGCTCTCCTTTCAAGTATTCAACGTTTGTTCCAATTGCTACACAATTTATGGAAAGTTTACACTACAATTGTGTTTGGAAAGAGCTTGTTTGCACTTGAAGGCTGTGGTAATGAGCAGACCACCTTTTATATTGTTTCCAGATTGGTGGTTGTTGCAGGAAATATAAAAGATAGCATACTATATTTTGCCAACGTTGCACAATTGGTCTTGGCTACAATTGGTAGGGAGTGTGCCAATGTTAGTCTTGGCATACTAACATTGTTTTTGACTCGAACCTTGAGGACAAGGTTCTTATTGGGGCCGAAGGTATTGTTATGAATGAGCCTAGATCACTATTGGCGAAGAAGCCCAATACCAGATTAAGTGGCTATGTGTGGGATCTGGGTTGATTAATAGTCTTTTGAGAGCAAAATAGGTTTTATGTGAATTATGATTATGCTTAGGCAAAGGCTATGCTTCTTATCCCCAATTCTCTCTTAGTTCCCTCATCCATTTTTCTTTATAGCTACTGTTATTGTTCGTGTTTTTCATATAGTAATTGCTCATTTTTGTATGAATCAAAGCTTGTTAGTTTGTTCTCTCTATTGTTTGTTGTTGAGTTGAGAAAATCACTTGTTACATAAATAACTTTTTAAAAGTAGTTTTCAAAAAATCAAATTAAGTAACTTTTAAGTTAAAAATAAATAAATAAGAAGTAGGGAGTACCTACTTTTAACATTTAATTTTTTTAAAGTTGTTTTTAATTTTGTCAAACACTCTAAAATCTAAAAATGACTTAAAAGTAGATTTGATAACTTTTAAGTCAATCCAAAGACTCATAATAACAAAAGATAGTACACGCTTTAAGAATTTCAACATACGTACGATGAGCAATAATATATATCAATATTTTGTGCGTTGAACAATGTGGCTTCATTTTGCAACCAACAAATCTATTGGCTGGTCTGGCCCCTGTGGGTTTAAGGGAACCCATAGTATCTCATTTCATTGTATGTGTCACGTGCTATATTGTATTCATTTTACATAAAATTAATATATTACATTTTGTCTCAAATTATTTTTCATATTTTTCTTTTATACTCCTCTTATGAATATCAATTAGGAAGCGTTTTGATTACCCTACCTTCATATATTCATCATCCCATAATTGAAGTATTCGTAAGTTTTCAAGAACAGGTTTTATTAAGAGTAAAATAAAAATATATAAATTATCTTGAATTTCTAAAATGACAAATAATTTGAGATAACAAGCTTTTAAAAATACGAACAAATAATTTGGATCAAAGAGAACAATAATTAACATCAAATTGATTAGTCGCGACATAGTTACCAAAAAATACTCGCGCAAAGTCATCGGACATGTGGTAGTCTCAAAGTAATGATAATATGAAAAATTAAAAAAGAATTGAATCAAGTCGCCATAAATAAGTTGACATATTTTGTTAAGTTCTTTAGTTTTAAATCTTAAAAAATTGACAATATTTTTACTCCCTCGTTGGTTAAAGTTATGTTGATATTAATAATGTAAAAATTAAATATTTCATCTTTAATAGTCTGCTTATCAATATTATATAATTTCTATACATGTATTAGTTATGTAAAATTATAAATTGATAATCAAACATCGTATCTAATATGTGAAATCCTATACACAACAATTAAGATGCTACAAAATAAAATAGTACTATCTTGCTCGTAGCTAGGAGTGCACATGATATTTTTCTACCAAAATAAATAAATAAATAAAAATAGTAGTACTAGTTATACAAAAAATTAAAGTACTCCTAAAGAGGAAAATAACCATTAATTTATGTTTGCTATCAGAAAATTCTATATTTGTGTGTACTTGCATTTTTTTTTCCTGGTAGAAGTGAAAGCCAGAGTGTGTTTGGTTCCACGGAATTTATTCCCAATGGAAATGTTTATTGGTGTTGCTCTTTTTTTATTTGATGTTTGACACCCACATTAAAACTCTACTAATTATTAGAATATCGTACATTATTTAATAGAAAATATTTTTATTTTGGTAACCATGTAAACTGTACGATTAACAAGCAAAATATAATACATCTAAAGAACACTCACCTCCATCAGAGCCAGCTAGTTACAATATTAGTTGTGCATAATGAACCTTGAACTAAATGCAAAGTATTCTATGTATAAATGCCCTACTCCTATATGTCCTCTTTGATTTGTTTAACAATTCAATTCTATGTTAACAAAAAATTGATTTAACTTATTTTTTCACAAAATAATTTGTATTTATTTTATTAATAAAGAGTGTTAATAGAAATACAAACAAAAGTAAATGATATCTGCCAATAATGAATTTAGTAAATTTTATTATTTATCTCTTTTATTATTTATTAAATGTCAAAACTACTTTAATAGTTCTCATTTTCACATTTCTTTTCTATATAATAGAAATATCTATTTTTCTTAAAAGTATCTTAGATTTGCCTCAAGTTTGTAATTGGGTTCCACAAAAATCTAATTTCAGACCTCAAATTTGTATTTGAGCTTCTACTTGCATTTTTTTCATCTTTAGCAGTTCCATATTAATCGGTTTCATTCCGACAGTCGATGGTTAGCTTGGGCGCTAATGGTATTTTCTATTTAGAATACCTAGACTAATGACAATCTTCCTTACTTGAATTGGAATCTTAAGCAGCTCAATTTCGATCTTCATTGGTCTGAGACGACCCTCTGTTCAAGTACCCCTTCTTCTACTCGAGCCTCGGCAGAGCATTTTTTATCTCATTCGTATTCTAAGGAATTCTAAACGACTCTTTCATATTGCACCGATGCTGAAAAAGATTGGACTATTCCCTACCGAGACAACATAAACTCTTCAACGGATCCTCCTTTTTTCAACTAGTAGATCGCCTTTTCTTAAGGTTTCGTACTACTACTCAAGTGATACGTGAATTGCTCAGGAGAAGTTTTTCTAATCGGATTGAAATCGTGAGACAGTTCGGTTCTCTAGACCCATCTGCCACCTTGGAGAAGGGGCGCGGTGTTGAAATTGTTGAATCAGAGAAATGGCTTTCTTGCTCGGTGATCCGTTAATGAAGTCATTCTGGATCCCTGACTCGTCTCATTCTGAGTCTTTGGCCAGTTTGACATCTGGGCATCGTCCCTTCTCTTGATCTACTTTGGTTACAGCTCGATAGTGAGTTTTGAGGGTCAAGTAAGGGATTGGGTTGAGAGGAGGATCACAGTCCTGCTATATACGAAATACTTAATAGCTAATGGTCGTATGACATCTATCCATCCATGCTGAAGTTTTGAGATTGAGGGCTTGGATCAAGGTCCTGAAAAGCGTGAAACACGGTAAGGACATTGATGAAGTATAAGCCTTGGCAAAAGACGAAGGCGGTAAGCGAAGCAAGCTACACCGGTCCTCCTTCGAAGTCGAAACCAAAACATCAAGCTTAAGGTTTGAACTAGAAAACTCCAGACCCATTGATCTTGAGGCAGCTATAGGGTCCTAAATATGATTATTCATGCACTTTGTCCAACACTGGTGAAATAACATAGGGTAACCATTTGTGGAAATCCTTATTTAAAACATATTCAATTTCTGAAAACTTTGTTCGAGTTTTAAGTTTGAAGTTTGAAGTTAAGCTCTAAAAATAAAATATGAAGAATGTATCAACTGAAAATTGAAAAACATATTCAATTTCTTAGCACAATCCTTCTTTTTAAGTTCGAGTTTTAAATTAAAAATAAAAGGATCATATTGAAGGCACCATATTATATATTTCATTGGTGAAGAGTGGGTTCATGTACCACACACCTGAAAAGAAAAGGGAGAGACACAAAGAATAAAGAGTAAATTGGGTTGGGTTGGGCCCAATTGCACATATCATCAAGCTAGTACTTGGACAGCATTAGGAGAAAGTATTTAGGTTATATATGACAAAAACAGAAACTTGAGGTACTAAAGTGTAGTAATTTCAAAAACATTTTGCAGGGAGGAGCGAAGAGGCTCCAACTCAGATATAAATAAATAAATCAACGGCCTTCAGGTGCGCGAGGTGTACGGAAACGGAAAAAAAAGAATAGTATAATTTTGTTAATTAGATTTAACTAGCCGTTACTCTCTCAGAATCTCAAAAACACGAACCCTGAAAAATCTTGTGTATCAATCTTTTCCATATTTGATCTCAGTTTACTTGCATCTTCTTGGGTGTAAGTCATTTCCATTCCTTGTTTATTATCTGGGTTTTCGTTCAAATAGCAAAATTATCGCTTAAAAAATCTAATTTCTGGGTTTGGGTTTTCTTTATGCGCGGAGCTTTAGTGGTTTAAGTTATGTTCTTTCCATATTTGATTTCACTTTACTTGCCATTTCTTGTTTATTATCTAAAAAAACTCATAACTTCATCTGGGTTTCGTTTAATTTTTACTTGTTTCCTTGAAATTAGATGATAATGACAAAGTTGGCTATCACAAGATCGTTTTTTTTTTTTTTCAAGATTAACTTTTTTTCTTGTTTAAAGTAATGGGTTTTGGGTTTTTTTTTTTAATGCGTTGTTTTGGTGGTTTAAGGAGCTTAAGTTGATGGTTTTAGTGATTTTGGTGATTTTCTTGAATTTTAGTTGGTGATTTTGATGTATGGTTTGATAATTTCATGTTAAGAATGGGTTATTAATTTGATGGTTTTTTGAATAGGATGGTATATAGTTCACAAAGATGGTGATAGGCGTACCAGGAACACCATTGTCGAAGACTGGAAGGACACCTTCTCGTTTTCCAGGTAGTAGAAGGACTATTCCGTCGTCTACTCCAGGAGGTCCAAAGCTTCGCGAAGAGAAAATTCTTGTAACGATTCGTGTGAGGCCTCTTAGCCCGAAAGAACAAGCAGCCTATGATCTCATTGCTTGGGATTTCCCTGATGAACAAACTATTGTATCGAAGAACTTAAATCATGAAAGACACACTGGTCCTTATTCATTTGGTAGGTTGATTAAATGTGAATTGCTGGTTGTTGTAGGTTCTGAATTTTGAAAATCTGCTTACATGGTTTTTTTCTGTGCCAGATAATGTCTTTGACCCGACTTGTTCGACTAGCAAGGTTTATGAACAAGGGGCTAGAGATGTTGCTCTCTCTGCTCTAAATGGGATAAATGGTAGAACTAGAGTACATTTTGTTTTAGCTCTTATATACGTCATTTGGTTTATTGTTTGGAAGAGATCATTCAGTTAATCTCGTACTTCTTTTGCAGCAACCATATTTGCATATGGACAGACAAGTAGTGGGAAGACATTCACAATGAGGGGAATAACCGAGAGTGCTGTTAATGACATTTATGAGCACATCAAATTTGTAAATCATACTTTCTCCAGAATCTTTTGTTGTTCTATGATTGAGAAATTGAGATGTTGATATCCGGATGCTTTTTTTTTCTGCATTACAGACTACTGAGAGGGACTTTGTGCTGAAATTCTCTGCTTTAGAAATATATAATGAGACAGTAGTAGACCTCTTGAATCGCGAGTCTGGCTCACTTCGCCTATTGGATGATCCAGAGGTAAAGAAGTGTCTTAGTTTACGAGTTCAAGTTTCTTAACTAGAATTTCCTTATAAATAAATTTTCCTGAATTTTTTGTCTCTGAATGCAGAAAGGTATTATTGTAGAGAAACTAGTGGAAGAGATTGTAAAGGATGGCCAACATCTGAGAACCTTAATTGGTGCCTGTGAAGGTAAGTTACATACTTCTGGTTCAACAAAATATTCTTTAATGATTATTGCATTATCTTATAATATCATAGAAGAATGCTGCCTTAGAAACCTCAGTCTATATATTTTTGAAGTTCAGGATTTTTCTCTGACCTTGTGGTTAAATACTTGTTACTTGCTGCAGCCCAGAGACAAGTGGGTGAAACTGCTCTAAATGATAAAAGCTCAAGGTCTCATCAGATAATTAAGCTGGTAAAAGATGCTGATCCCTTTTCTACTGAAGTTTAAAGTATTTGACATTGTTAAGTTTCTTCTGCACATTTGACATGAGATATCGTACATGGAATAGATAGGGATTCAAGGATTTGTAGGCCAGAAAATTAAAGTTGGACTAAATCATCATTTTGAAATTCTTGTTATTTACTTGGTTAGACCACTTGAACTATGTACTATAATATGTTGTTAGTTGGAGGGAGCAAATCTAATCTACCCAATAACTATGAAGACTAAATCCTTAACTCTTAATCCGGATGCCAAGTAGTGAAGTAGATGTGGTTGCTGCCTCTTTCTATGCTGGGACCTACTTCTAAGGTGGCATCCCAGCAGTTCTTATTTTCGTGATTTATATGGAATATCTTTGTAGTAATACTAGATGTGGTTGCTGCCTCTTTCTATGCTGGGACCTACTTCTGAGGTGGTATCCCAGCAGTTCTTATTTTCGTGATTTATATGGAATATCTTTATAGTAATACTAAATGTCATGTTGGTAATATTATGACATATCCATACAGCTGACATTTTAAGGTTGTATCAGAACAGTTCTTAATTTGGTGATTTATATGGAATATTCTTCATGTACTAATAAACAATGTTGTGTTTGTACTGTTATGATGTATTATGTATCTTACCTCCTTTCATCCATATTGTTTCTACATGAGTTCTTAGCACCCTGTCCATACAGCTGACATATTGACTTTTTGTTCAGACCATTGAGAGCAGCATCCGGGAAAACTCAGGGCGTGTGAAATCCTTCTTGGCAACTCTGGTAAGGACCTCTCATTACTGATACTATAATATTTCTAATGTCATGCATGAATGCCAATATATGATACTCCTAATACTGTAGAACCTTGTGGATCTTGCTGGAAGTGAGCGTGCCTTGCAAACAAGTGCAGATGGTACAAGGTTAAAGGAAGGAAGCCATATTAACCGGAGCTTGCTGACACTGACCACAGTGATCAGAAAACTAAGGTAATTGAGAACACCATGATATTCAGTTACTTACGAAAGTTTTTGCAACTTGGAAGAATGGGTGAGCACATTGCTTTCCATTCACACTATTTATATAACCACATCTGTTGTTCTTATTATTGTGCACAATTCTCATATGCATTAATGGCCTAGAATTCTTGTTACTTGTAAGAACAATCCAGTTGATGATAAATCTCAGTTAATAATAGCCTTGAGACATTACTTGTTGAGTTTTATTTGCAGTGGTGGAAAGAGGGGTGGTCATATTCCCTACAGAGATTCAAAATTGACGAGGATATTACAGCCTTCACTTGGCGGAAACTCAAGAACAGCAATTGTTTGCACTATGAGTCCTGCTTTAAGTCATGTGGAACAATCACGCAACACTCTGTGCTTTGCAACAAGTGCCAAAGAAGTCATTACCACTGCGCAAGTAAACATGGTATGCGATTAGTGGTTAATTTGAAAGCTCCTAGTGACTTCTAAAGGAACTGTATCATTCATTATTTCTCTCTGTTTTCTTCCCTTTAAAATTAAATATACCAATTGATAACAATAAATAAGTTATGCAGTGATTATTTATGCGGTGAATAATAATGGGGAGATTGTTATACTGTTAATACCGAATAATCTTGTTATGCAGATCTTACTGGCTTTATGTGACTTTGTTGTTTAGTTAGTCTTATTCATGTAGTGCTATTATATGTTTTCTTATCACATATTCTTTCAAGCATAGAATAATATGCAGATTGGCGCACACTTATGTGGTATGAGCAAATGCGGATTTTACTGCTGCCAACCAAATGTTTGTTATAAATTAAGTGGCACTCGTGGAATACTCTCTCACGGATTCGCTCTATTGGTTTTACTACGTTTATTTCCAATTATTATTAATTTTGTCAGATTTAACACTCACTGACTGCCCATTAGGGTAGAAGGGTAGTAGTAGGTAGTGTAGTGTTGTCTTGCTTAGGGTGGCTGGTGTTTACGATGGTACTAGTTGTATTATTGTAATTCTTGTTTTTTTACCAGTATCATTGTTGTTTACGGTGTTTCAATTATCACATGATTTTATTGTTGTTTTCGCTACTTTTGCACTGTTCCTTGTTATTTCTGTATTCTCTACATTGTCTGCTTCTTCTTTGTACCGGGATTTGTTGCACTTGATCCCGAGGGTCCTTCGGAAACAGCCTCTCTACCTCTACAAGGTAGTGGTAAGGTCTGCGTACAATCTACCCTCCCCATACCTCACTTGTCGGATTTCACTTACTGTCCATGGATTCAGATATTCAATCCCACAATGATTGGAAATATTTGGACCCGGTAGAGTAAGGATTTCCAGTCCTCTATCAATCCAGATTGGAACTGGTGGAAGCGAGGATTTTCAGTTCTCTGCCACAATCCTAACCCTCTGGAACCGGTAGCTGCCAACTGGTGGTGACACGAGAATTTTCAGTCCTTTGCCCTACGAAGTGAGCTATCCTGGCTTTTAATTCCCAGTCCAGATTGGAATTGGTGGCACGAGGATTTTCAGTCCTGCCAATCCCCTTGAACAAGATTCCTGCAAGCTTGGATCGGTTGTGCTTGAGGGTGATTAGTGGTAATTCAGCTCTGAAAAATCTCCCCGTAGAGCCAGAGAGAGATGAAATTTATAGTCAACCTCTCTGCCTCTCAGATAGCTTTCATTTTCCTCTACAACTTAAACCATAAGACCCCTGAGTTATTGTTTAGGCCTACAAGTTATCTCGTAATGTGAATTAAATCCGTAAAATCTATTTAACTTCTGTAGTGTAGATACCATTGATTGTTTTCTTTAGTCCCTTTATTGCTAATTACATGTACTCTTATCCCATATTCTATTTGGCATAAAAAAATTCACATACTCAAATTCTTTGTATTACTTGATGTGGATATTAGCAAATGCGGACTTTAATAAGGCCAACCAAATGTTGTATTAAATCGTGCAGTACATACCATTGATTGTTTTGTTTAGTCCCTTTATTGCTAATTACTTGTACTCTTATCCCATATTCTATTTGGCATAAAAAAATTTACATACTCAAATTCATTGTATTACTTGATGTGGATATTAGCAAATGCGGACTTTAATAAGGCCAACCAAATGTTGTATTAAATCGTGCAGTACATACCATTTATGTATTCCTTTTTTTATGCAAGTTAAAGCCTGCATTACAAAAAAAATCAGGGCCCTTAGTCTACTTGGTAATTCTACAATCACAGACCTTCATGTTTGACTTCTTCTTTCTTGTTTTCCTATAATTTTCCAGGTTGTTGCTGAGAAGCAATTGCTGAAGCATTTACAAAAGGAAGTTTCCAGACTTGAAGCAGAGCTCCGAAGTCCTGACCCTTCTGCCTCCCCATGTTTCAGAACTCTACTAATGGAGAAAGAGCGGAAAATCCAACAGGTACCACTAATGTTTTTCAGTAGTATTGGGCTTCCAGCATCATTTTAGCTATTGCTAAAGAGGGGGGTAACCCTGCCCTTCTAGTATCATAACTTTGTCATAATAAATGAACTTCTTTGTCATTTTCTGAAGTTATTATCTCTGGCAGCTACGTTGTACTGCTTCTCATTTTCATGTGTGAGAGTTGCTCATTTCATTGCACAATCCGATTGAAAAGTCTAGATTAACAGAAGCTTTGTATCTCATTACAGCTTACCATCTCGACTTACAAATACTAGCCATGTTACCCAATTTACTTCACTTTCCTAGATTCACCTGAGCAGATGGCGAGATATGGGAATATAAGATGCTTATTGCAGATCCTTTGACACACAGAAAAAACTGCTAATTTTGCATGTAAGCATGCAGATAGACCTCTTTCCAACAATGACATCTGAACTTGTATCTAGATTAACAGAAGCTTCGCATCTCATTACAGCTTACCATCTCGACTTACAAATACTAACCATGTTACCCAAGTACTTCATTTTCCTAGATTCACCTGAGCAGATGGCGAGATATGAGAATATAAGATGCTTATTGCAGATCCTTTGACACAGAAAAAACTGCTAATTTTGCATGTAAACATGCAGATAGACCTCTTTCCAACAATGACATCCGAACTTGTATGACATAGGACAATTGTGATACTTATGAAATACATGTTCTCTAAGTGTAAAGTGTCAGTTGTATTGTCGTTCAGAGATATTTATATGTTCAAGAAACAGAAAGCAATGGCTTATTAAGGTGGAATTGTCATGTTCACTGTTAATCTAATATCTTTACTTATGAATCATTTGCAGATGGAGGAGGAGATGAATGAGCTGAAACGTCAGCGTGACCTAGCACAATCCCAGCTCGAACTAGAAAGAAGATCAAAGAAAGAGCTCAAGGTACAAAAAATTGTGGAATTTAGACAGAACACCTAACTTCCCATCTTTGTTTGTGGATTTGAGTCTTGAAAAGTAAAACTTGTTGGCATATGCTCATTTCAGGCTTCAGATCACCATGGACCTTCTCGTCAAGTAGTCAAATGTCTTTCATTTACAACTGAAAATGAAGTAGTTTCTGGATCTCTTTCTACACCCCTGGGAAGAAAAAAGTTACTTGACAGGCAGGCTGCAATTAGGAGGTCTACCAATTCAACCAATCCATCTATGCTGGTGCACGAGATCCGAAAGCTTGAGGTGAGACAGAGGCAACTTGGTGATGAAGCAAACCATGCACTTCAGTTGCTTCACAAAGAGTTTGCATCTCACAGAATTGGCAGCCAAGGGGCTACAGATACCATTGCAAAGTTGTTTGCAGAAATTAAAGAACTGCACAAAATAAGTTCTGTTCCTGAACAAATTGAGATAAAAGATAAAGCCAGCTTGAAAGAAGAGATTGCACGGCTGAGATCGCAGGAAAACAACATTGCATCTTTAGAACAGAAACTTGAAAATGTTCAGAGATCTATAGACGAATTAGTCATGCATCTTCCAAGTTGTCAGGAATCTGTTGATTTGAGGACTCCAAAAAAGAAAAAGGTGCTTCCTTTTAACACCAGTAACATGCCAAATATAATTCGATCACCATGTTCTCCTATGTCTCCTTCATCCTGCAACATCGTGGATGGCGAGATTGAGAACAGAGCACCAGAATGCAATAATGTTGGATCTGCTGGTGATTCATTCTGTAGCCAAAAAAGCACTCCAATTAGAAGAATGGACAGTAACTGTATCTCATCGAGGGAGGGTACTCCTGGATCAAGGCAGTCAAACTCTGTTAACATGAAGAAGATGCAAAAGATGTTTAAAAAAGCAGCTGAAGAGAACATTCGGAGTATTAAAGCTTATGTTACTGAGCTGAAAGAAAGGGTAGCTAAGTTACAGTACCAGAAGCAGCTGCTTGTTTGCCAGGTTAGGATTTATCTTCACTCTCCTTGTGGCTTTTTTTGACAAGATATACAACCTTCAGTTCATGGTTCTAACTGTTGCAATTTCCTTTTCCTTTTGTTTTGATAAATCAAAATATCATTTGGTCTAATTGTTGTGCGACGAGTAAAACCAGGTGCTGGAGTTGGAGGCAAATGAAGCTGCAAGTGATGAAGCTGATATAACCGATCAATCTCCGTTGTCATGGCACTTGGTGTTTGAGGACCAAAGGCAGCAAATTATTATGTTGTGGCATTTGTGTCACGTGTCTTTAGTGCACCGTACTCAATTTTACATGTTATTTAAAGGGGATCCATCAGATCAGATATACATGGAAGTTGAGCTTAGGAGGCTGACATGGTTAGATCAACACTTAGCAGGGCTTGGTAACGCGAGTCCTGCTCTTTTGGGTGATGACCCTGCTGGCTATGTCTCATCAAGGTATTATTTATTCTTTCAAGGTATTTTATTTGAACTTTTCCAAGGCCTTTAGTAAATTTACCAACTCTTGGCTTTTGAATATACAGTATTAAGGCTCTGAAGCAGGAGAGGGAATATCTAGCGAAAAGGGTGAGCTCCAAGCTAAATGCAGAAGAAAGGGAAATGCTGTACATGAAATGGGACATTCCACCAGAAGGAAAACAGAGGAGACGGCTACAGCTTGTGAATAAACTCTGGTCAGATCCTCTTAACATGCAAAATGTATGTGAAAGTGCTGAAGTAGTCGCGAAGCTTGTTGGATTCTGCGAAACAGGAGAACATGTTTCAAAGGAGATGTTTCAGCTCAATTTTGTTTCCCCATCTGACAAAAAAACATGGCTAGGTTGGAATCTGATATCAAACTTATTACACTTGTAGTTCCAAATAGCAAGTCCATGTAGATTTTGGCATCCTGTACAGTTTCTTGCTAATGCATCCAGCATTTTTGCTTCTAGTAAACACACATCTTGCTAGAATTTTAGCAGAGAGCGTTTACTGATTTTTTTTCAAGAAAAACTAAAAAATAGCATTCATGAAAGACATAACATATATTGTTTTAGCTAGGAGTGGCAAATGAGTGGGTCGAGTCAAATGTGAGTCGGTCGAAAATGAGTTAAACAAAAATGGGTAAAATACTCTACTCGACTTATATTTTAAAGAGCCAACTTTCACATATAGCAAAGACAAAAATCATATTTGTATGTTATAGCTATAGTTTGCATAATTGCGTTCCATAGCAAACATAAATATGTATTTTTGCTATACATATACAAAAGAAAGCAATTGTGTAATATGTTTCGGTATACATGTACAAAAGATCAATTGAATAATCTGTGTTTGTAAAAGAGAGAAAGACAAAAGAAAATTGGGCAGGGGAAGATCGTATTTGTATAATCATAAGTGTATAGGACGAAAATATATGCATTTGTATTTGTATATACAATTTTCTCTCGCTTTGTACAAACACAAACGCAATGTATACATTTGTGTTTGTATAAAGTGAGAGAGGCAAGTGAAAGTGGCGAGCGAGATCTGGGAGAGGGGAACGAAAATATATATATATATACAATTTTCTCTCGCTTTATACAAACACAAACGCATTTTACATGTTTGTATAAAAGTGAGAGAGGCGAGGGAGACTGCCCAACGAGAACAAGAGTGGTGAGCGAGATTCACCAGGAGAGAGGCGAAATAACAACAGTTTGCTATGGGGTACAATTAAATCAAAACTACGGTTATAACATTTAATTTGAATTAATAGTTTTCTATTATATACAATTTTCCCTATTTTAAATGGCTTAAAACGAGTTATCCGTTTTAATGGGTAAAGCCTTCTTAAGGCAGGTGAGGAGTTGTCCGTATTGCGGTACTTTTCTGAAAATAGTATTCTCTGTTCAATGTGAAAAATTAGACTTTCTTTAAGGGGTAACTGAACTTCCTTTTATCCGGTTGAAATGCTTTTGAAAACTATTTATGCTCTTCTTAAAAATAGTAATTCTTTTCTCAATGTGAAAATAGTACACTTTTGGAACCATTTGCATTTCCTTCAACTTTTCTCAAAAGATACTTTAAAATACTCTTGACTCACTTTAAAATTCCAAAATCAATGCATGAAAATAAATGCACAAAGACTTTCAATAAAAATCTCATTAACTAGGGTTCATGTGAAATATAAGTATGAACAACAACTCAAGAATATCAATGCATATAATATTGCAATCTCATAATATAAAAAATTAAAATTCGGAACAAGAACATAACTTATATCAAGAATTTCATAAAACTAAGGGCAGAATCCTAGATTGAACTTTCTACTGATTGAATTGGGATGTAGGGCGTGAAGACAAACTTAGTCCAATACTATGAGTAGTCTTCCATACACTGAAGAACAAAGTTCTTGAAGAAGTTTAAAGAAGAACTTGATTGGAAACCTTGAAACCCTAGCTTGTGTCTTTCTTGCTGTTTTCTTTTTGAGTTGGGGAGTTGAGAGTGTAGAATTAAAGAAAATTGAGTACTTGGTGGAATATATTCTCCTAATGAAGTTAAAATGTCATGACTTGAGTTTAGGAAAAATGGGAATATACAAAAGAAACCTTACTTAAAAAGCTATCGAAAACTTTCCACTGGCCATTTACGGTTGGTGGTTTGATCTACGAACCGTAGATCCCATCCGTGGAATTCATTTTGAAGTTTTAAGGCTAATAAGTTCACTCTACGGCCCAAATTACGATCTATAGAAGTTTCTACGACCCGTAGATGGGTCCGTAGAAACTGGACCCAAAAACTTAACTTTCAGTACTTTACAGGTCAACAATACAAGTTGTAGCTTTTTCTACGACTCGTAGAAGTGATTCATAGGTCAGAGACTCAAAAAACTCTGTTGTGGTAATCTATGGTTAAATGGTCATAAATGTTTACTCCGGACTATAAATGAGGCAAACTTGATGGTGTTAGAAAGAAAACCCATAGAAGATGGAAAACAAAAAAAATAAAATCTATTTTGTATATTGAAAAAAAGATATGAAAATATCATGTCAGATGAAGAGAAATATCGATATAGTTTGGCTTAACCCATCGGTGGCCCCTTAAAATTGGCATCAACTTTCACTTAGACACCTGAACTAGACTTTGTTCATTTTAGACACCTCATGTAAAGTCTTGATATGTCATTTTGACACTTTTTGCTGATATGACATAGTGAGTGTGACCCACTCATTAACCGCACGTCAGGCTATTTTTTTGCCAATTTTTATTTTATATTTCCTTCTTCCCCATTTTTTCAATCACTGTTTTCTCAAACTTGAACTTCTTCCATGGTGAAATATATTCAATGATGCCACAAATGAGGAATCTAATTCCAAACGGAGCTTTCCCCAAGATTTCCCAAGGATGATGCCCTTCTCCCTCAATTTAATTTGAGAAAAAAAGACTAAGATTTGAAGAAAAAAATGAAAAGTTGGGGATGAGTAAAAAGTCACTAAGAAAATGAGATAATCCCATTAAAAGAAACTTAACAATGTGATATGAACACGTACACATTTGTATTTTAAAAGTTCATTGGATCTTAGATTTTATTTTTTGTTAGCAATAAAATCTATAGAATTTTCTTTTAGCAATAAAATTTGTGGAGCTGCATTTATTTGAAAAAAAATTGAGTTGCACAAGTTCACTAAAGTTATACCATAGAAGGATTGAACAATATTTAAGTAAAAGAGAGGAGAAAATTTCGAGTATATGATAGAAGATTAAGGGGTGTGTGCTACTGTACTTGTTTCTCCAACGTTGGAGAAGACGATGGGGTGGGGGTGGGAGATGCTTCTCCTAAAGATTTTTTAAGGTGATTTAATCCTTTTTTTGTTATTATTTGGAAAAAAAATGCCACGTGTCATCGATCCATTGTCCATCTTTTATTTTTTTTGATAATTGATAGTTTATTATTTAAGAATTATTTTGAACAAAATGACAAGTGTCCTCATTTAATTTGACACTTTACACATCATCCGCAAGTGGAACACACTCACCATCATATTTTTGCTGAATGTAAAAAAAGTGTCAAAATGACATATCAGGGTCTTGCATGAGGTGTCTAAAATGAACAAAGCCTAGTTAAGATGTCTAAGTGAAAATTGATGCCAACTTTAGGGGGCCACCAATGGGTTAGCCCATATAGTTTTATATATCCAACACTAACTTGAAATAAAGATTTTATTCTACTTTATTAAAATAAAAATTATTTATAGAATTACTATGTGTATTTATAACTGCACGAATGGAGGACAATTTCACTAATCTAAATATAATGTCCAAAAAAAATTTCAATTTAAATCAATCTAATTTTAAATCATGTTCAAAGATGGAGAAATTTGAAGGGCATATCTGTCACAAACAAATAATCCCTCCCGTATCTCCTACTCTCGCCCTCTTAACCCTAAAACCTCCGTTCAGCTACACTGCAACCCCTCTTTTGCTCCTCTCTTCTTCTTCCAATTTGCTCCAAAGCAGGCAGATACAGTTTAGAAAATGGTTCAAGAGGCGACTAATGGTGGTGCCGAGAAGTCACAGTTGGCTATCACTGTAGAGCAGCTCATTGCCGTTAACCCTTACAACCCAGATATCCTCCCTGATCTGGAAAACTATGTGAACGAACAGGTACACTAATTTACTAATGCCGATGACTCCAAAATTGATTTTTTTGTAATGGGTTTTCAACCCTTTTTCAGATTTTTGGTTCTGCTGAATTTTCCGTTGTTTTTGATTGAGTAATTTCAATGTTAATTTAGGTTTCGTCTCAAACATACAATCTGGATGCAAACCTTTGCTTGCTCCGTCTTTATCAGGTTTATATCGTTATTTTGAGAATTAATCATGGAGGTTTGTTTGTTGTTTGATATTGGTTTTTTGATTTGTTTGGATGAGTACAGTTTGAGCCGGAGAGAATGAGTACACCAATTGTTGCTCGTATTTTGGTTAAGGTGCAATCAAGTTCTTGTTTTGCATCCCGTGATATTACTTGTTGCCTCTGTTATTATCTAACTTATTATTTGCTTGGTTGTATTGATAGGCCCTAATGGCAATGCCAGCTCCAGATTACAGCCTGTGTCTCTTCCTAATCCCGGAACGAGTGGTATATATCTCTGACGTTGCCTTGATTATGACTTTACCTTTGATGAATATGAATTGTAAATTTTGCTTGTCTTGTGTACTCTGGAATGGGTGTTGCTGGAAAACATAAAAACTGTCATAGCCAAATATGTAGGTAGATTTGTTACTACACCTATTTGTGACCAGGAATATTAGCTATTCTCATTCATACCTAACACAGCTTGACAGTTGTTTCATTGCTTGTTTAAAACAAAAAGGAAGGCAGGTGATCATTATGACATAATTTTAATATAAAAAAAAACCCCAAAAGATCTTCCTATATTGCTAAATCTTTTAATACTCATTTGTCGTCTCTTGCTGTGTATCCAACTAGATTGGAGGTATATTACATCAATAAAACAAGTACAAGCTGAGGGGTTTGGGAAGGATTGCTGCTTTATGGGTTCAGAAATGTTCTTGTGCTAAGTATGAGGAGATTAGATAAATAGGAAAGTCTGAAACGAATAAATAGATACATAATGATGTATGATATTTGGTGGTGCTCTATAAACCAATATCTGCAACATAAAGGTTGTAAGACTGAATATCCTAATGTCTTCCCCAGAGTTGTTCAACAACAAAAACATACCCTAGTGTAGTTCCACAAGTGGGGTCTGGGGAGGATAGGATGTACACAAACCCTTACCCCTACCTTTAAAGTATTCTTACATTTCTTAGCTAGTATAGTTTCATATTTGTTAATGAAATGCATCCAAATGTATATTGAGGTTGAGATAGCCCCCCCCTCCCCCCCGAAGTTATTCAACACCTGCATACCCAGTGTAGTCCCACAAGTGGGGTTTGGAGAGGATA